GCTCATCTTGAATTGTATGTATTCAATGTTCGGCGTAGTGGAAATATGCTTGGCCTATAACCTATTGTTTATTCAGCAACGATCTTATATGAAGTGAAAAAATATTGAAATACATTTTTCCATATTTTGTATAAAAAACAAAACTTGCTGAGGATTGATTGTAGAAAGTAGAAAGTAATAAAGTTTATAAATCCATTTGCTGAAATCCAACAAAGTTATATACATTCATGAAAGAAAAATTAATTATCTTTATTTGGACGTCATTAGTTTTTTAATAGGTCATGTTGTTCAGAAGATATTAATATTAAAAAAGTCAGAAAATGTAACTTTAACCATTGATCTTTTTTATATTTTAATTTCGCCAGGTAATTTTGGTAGGGTTAAAATCAGCACAAAAGGTTCTGTCGAGCCACATTTTTGGTTTGTGCAAAGGCAGACATGGCTAAACAACTTTGAATGCTGCTGATTTAGATGATCTTTGGCGGCAAACTCAAATCTCCTCTCTGTCGGTCACCTTTTACTTTTCCTCTGCTTTAAATGAAAGATCATTTTGCTTGTTTTTTGGTTGTAAATACAAGTGTTTACTAGACGTCTGACAATTTTGAAATTCTGACAATCCGCTTGTCTTCTCTACATTTTGACCTCCGAAGCAAACTTATTTTCGAAATACAGTAAAACCCGCTTATGTACCTCACGAAAAATGTCAGCTTTTTGAGCTTTTAAAATTCTAGTAAAATAAGTGCAAGTTTTGAGCGGCTAAAAAGTCACATTGGTTTTTAATAATTTTTTTTTGTTGACATCGTTTTGCACTTTTTTCCATATAAACATGAATTTTATGTGGAAAATATGCGCAAGATCTTTTGCGATAAAAATAAAAAAAGTCAAGGCATGTGAAAAAAACATAAAAGCCGTCAGCAAAAAAAAAAAATATTAAAAATCAATGCGATTTTTTAAGCTCTCAAAGCTTGCACTTGTTTTACTAGAATTTTATAAGCTCGTTAACTGCATACCCAAAAAATTTCCAAAAATTTTGGTTAAAAAGCACGAAATTTAGATAAAAATTTATGGAATTTTACTAAGTTCTGTACAAACTTTGAAAGTGTGATTTATATAGTTTTTGTTAAAGCATGAACCATATTTTTATATAAAAATATCAAAAAAAAAATAAGCTTGAAAAACATTAAAAATATTAAAAACGAACCCCCATTCATCCATTTTTGCCCGCCACTGTATATAGATAAATAGATACCATTCGGAAAAAAATTTCGCTTGCAGTAATTTCTACGTGGTAAGTGTTCCTCCATTATTTGGTTTCATAGGAATCCGGATACCTTCCTCATTGAAGTAGTAAAGAAAATTCGCTTTAGTGCTTTTTTAAGTTTTCCGTGCAAAGAAGGATGAGCAGCTGAGCAAAATATACTGTAAACCTAAGCTTAAGATTTTGTAGAGCACTTAAAAAAAAATTCATCATAATTTCAAACTTTTTTCTCAGTAGTGTTTTTTAACAGGTCTATTCTGCGCTGGTAATAAGAAGTTTGTAACCGGTAAATAAAGTTTCTGTCAATTTTTAAACCCTTTTCGCATTCTGTGTACTCTTGTAACCGGTAAATTTTGTTACCATCTCATAAGCTGGTAACAAAGTATTGCCCCGTGAAATATGCAATACCAGAATTTGCACAATTCTTCATAGCTGAATTGCTGAATATTTTAATTGCATTACCAACGTACCTAGAATCGCGGTGACAAGAACTGGTAACATTTTTTGGTAATAAAATTTTCCGGTTACAAAATCTTCGGTAACGTGCAGAATAGACGTGTAAGTATACACGTTTCACGGTTTCACTGTAATTCAGAAAACTTCCATAAAAATCATAAAGTTTCTTGCATTTATCGAAGTTTCTAAAAACAGGGATCGAATTGTGACAGCCAACGGCTCGGCAATTTTAAGAACACAAATTACGCGAATTGCCTGAACAAATTGGGGTTATGACATACGAGAGGAAACACACCGTTATTTGTTTGAAGTTACGGTAGATTGAAGGTCACAATAGGACTCTAGTTACATTTTCCGGTTCCATTAGACCCCGAAGTGTATTTTTTTTTTTAGAAAAATGAAACCAAAAGTTGTAAAAATCCTCCGTTTAAAGATTTATTTGAAATGGAATTGACTATATCCCAAATGCTTTCAGTTTTTTTTAATATTTTTCATATTGCGATCAATCGCTTGTTCGCAGCTGTCATCATACCGAGTTATGTGACGAGCAGTACCTTCACGTCGGTTATAGTCCAAAATATGAATTTTTACGTAACGAGTTGCTCCTTCACGACTGTCACGATTCCAGTCCAGATTTGTATCTGATAAAACGACGCTGAAGATGTTCGTATCGATGAGTGGAATCTTCAACGCTCCCAGTATCGTTGTGCTTGATATCGTATTCTGTGCATACTTCGTTCATATTTTCGAAAATTTCGTGAAAATGACTTGCTGCATTTTGCCACATTTCTTGAAATTCCTGCATAGACCACTAATCACTGGAACTCAATTATATCCTTGGCCACTTCCAAAGGTTACTTCTTGATAGTTCTTGATAACTATCTAGTACAGTAAAAATGATATAAAAATTCGGCTATCTAGCGATGTTTGGTAAGGTGCATAAATTGTTTTGATTATGGTTGGGTAAGATAAAGAGATATTAAAAATATGTTTGCGGGTGAAAGAAGGGTGTAGACGTTTTTCGTAATTTACATCGATACTTACCGTTCATTCTTTCGAAAAAACTCAAGAATACTTTTTTGCTGGCCGAAAGAAATCTATATTTTTTTGTTGACGTTTTTTTCTTTCTAGCGTCATTATTTTGCATGTTAATGAAAATAATATCCTTCTAATCGCAATTCTAGAAAATAAAGCATCGTGGTCCATTGCATAGTGTTCGGTATGTGAGTAGGACACGCGCTTTTTTTTTGCCGCCAACAAGCCCCTGTCCTGTTTATTTATTTTTGTAAAAATCTGTTTATTTCAAAACATGCCCTTTAAAGTACTCTTTTTGCAAGTATATTATACAATCAACTACAGAAAAGTAGACTTTACATATGTAAATATGTGAATATCGTATCAGCATTAGTACTTTTACAAGCACTAATTATGTGTATTTTTGTATGCCTGTATACTAGTGCTTTTGCATGTTTGAAACACTAATGCAGCCATATGCATACAGCAGTAGTACAAGTGTATGGTTAGAGTACGCCAGGCTTTCCCAAAGTGGGTGCCGCGGCACCCTGGGGTGTCCCAAGCGTAGGCCTGGGGTGCCGCTAGTAGCTAGAGTATACTAGTGGTGCGGGAAAATTCTTTAAACTTCCCATACACAACGCAACAGTTTGATCAAACTTCAACATGGCGGTCAGAAAATCAAACAATTTTGATTTTTGTTAAAATTACCTTCAGCAGCTGATTTTGTTCTTAAACATAGTTCTTTAGTACGTTTTGTCAACGAAAAATTGAATCAGAAAATTTTCAGAAAAATTGCTAAAAACGTACCCTTTTCACAACCATTTTCGGTACTTTCGTAGAGCTAATCCGCGTTTCATCCACTTTTCTTCCAGTTTTCGGATTAATTTTCAGATTGTTTGCTGGCTGGGCTGTTCTCGTGACAAGCGCAGCAGCAGAAGTTCTTTGGAACTTCACAATTACACTGTGAAAGAGTGAATTAACACGATTTTAGAGGCAGTCGAAAACGAACTTATAAAAAGTTTGAAAACTTGTGAATTTTTTTGTTTGCAACTTCCCGAAAGTACCGACGTAGTGGGACTTAATGTTCTTCTCGTGTTAGTGAGGTACTCATTTGGGTACACCACTAGTGACAAAATTTTTAAAGCTATCGACAAATTTGTACAGAAAAATGGTTTGAAATATAGCAAGTGTGCGGATATTTGTAGTGGTTGGAAAAACGAAAGGAGCGATGTATAAAATGAAGCAAGAGGCAGAAAGCGCCACGAGAAGTCACTGTACGATCCGTCGGTATTTCTTGGCGACTAGGAAGAAGCCACCACTAGATTTAAACCCCATATTGGATGACGCATGAAAACCCCATAAGTAACCAAAGTATGTAACGTATGTAACTTCGAAGTTAACGCCAAGAAAATTGATAACAGCTGGTTTCTCCAGAAATTTAAATAGAAAATGATTTTTTATTTTCTGTCAATTTCCATATAAAATTACAAAAATTAAAATCATTTTTCACTTATTTTGCTTTCGTGAAATTGGCTGTAAAAGTTATTTTCTTAGCTTTAACGCGCATTACCAGCGTTAACTTGGAAGGTTTAGAAAAAATCATTGTCGAATATTTTCCCAACATTGACTCTGAGGATGTCTACAGCTGGATAACAAATACGTTTTCATGTGACCCGAAAAGTTAACCTACTGGGATGTCAAATGAAGCTTTTGGAAACCTTCTGGACATCAGTGAAGGTAGCACTTTGAATATTAAATTCTGCGAAGGGAGCCAAGAGAGTTCTGGATGCAAGTGTATGCAGAAAACACTGCTGTTGACATGCTTGCATTAAAAATACTAGTGACTTTTGCTTTTACATTTCTATATGAGACTGCATTTTCAACAAATGCTTAGATAAACAAATAATTTTTAATCAAAAAACAAAGCCGACTTCAATTCTCATATACAAGTTTAAGATTATCGGTTATTTCTTCATGATCCAATGATCGGATTTAAACCAAATTAGAGTGGGACCGCCTGTGAGGTAACACCTTTTCTTTAGAAAGGAAAAGGATTATAGAAAGCGGATAACGTGGTCCAAAGTTATGCGGTAACATACATAAAAAAATAAATAATAATAAAAAAATATTCCGACGAATTGATAACCTCCTCCTGTTTTTTGAAGCCAGCATCAAATGATTTCAGGGTAAAATTGTCAAAGCTCCCAATAAACTTAAAGGAAATAATCACCCCTATTACGGTTGTCAATATCATGTCAATATTGTCAAAAATAGTGTCGATGCCTCCGAATTGGTATTGCCGTCATCAAAGTCGATAACTGTTGACAGCTGTTGATACTATTTTGGTATTGACGACAACAATATTGATATTCTATTGACGGGTGTCAACATAAAACTTGTCAATACAGTTTTTGGTGACGACAAGCGCTCAATTAAATATTCTGCTGTAAAAATTTGGTAAAATAATTCTGAATTATACCTTTTTACACACTTTATTTGGTTAGTTCTTATTTAATTTAGGAAAATGGAAAGAAAAATGAAAATAACAAACAACAATCAATTTGCGCAGCTTGTTTTAGAACTAGAAAAAAATCCTGCGCTTGCTAAAGGCTTTTCCAAAGGGACAGTTCCCAATAATTTTAAGTCGCAATGGCAGGATATTGCAAATGCAATCAATGCTCTCGGTCCACCACTCAGGGATGGTGAGGGTTGGCAAAAGGTAAAAAACAACTTATTTTTAAACTTATATGGTTTAACTTTTTGTGAATTTAAAGGTTTGGAGGGATCTGAAATGCAAGGTTAAAAGAAAGCTCGTGCACAACAAGCAGGAGTGCCGTGCCACAGGAGGAGGAAGCTACAAGCAATTGGTGCTGAGCCCATAGGAGCAGGTTGCCAACCTTCTTCAATTCGGCAAGCAACTTAACCCGAAAGGAATGGCTCAAGGTGTTCCCAAAAGTGGAAGTTGCATGAGTGTTGAAGAAGTGCTATAAGAAGTGCTACGAGAAGATTCTCCAGCTCCTTCGGTAGATCCTACAATGATGGAGTTCGATGATACCACTGGGCTCAACACCACCGCCGGTAGTGTTTCTGTAGAAGATAGTCGAGCTCCAGTTAATGAAAATGCTGCGGAGAACCAAAATTTAAATGCTGGGCAGAATGCAGATTCACCTCCTAATACTAGCAGGAGAAGTCGTGTTCGCGCAAATAGACAGCGGCAGAATTTGTTGCAAAACCACACTGAAATGCAAGAGGGTGTGCTGACACGAATGTCGACAACCCTTGCGGGAATTGGTTTTAATCTTTAACAGAAACATATGCACAACAAATTGTAGATAAACAATTGTCAAAAATATAAGGATCGTAGTTTTGCTATTAAATTATCGATAACACGTCAACGTCAATACATTGATGAAGTAAATACCAGAATTGCATTGACGCGACGTTGATATTGATACGACGTGATGTTGATATTGATACGAAGTGACAATTGAGGTTGACAACCATAATAGGGGTGAATGAAATCATTACAATTTCAGACCTTACATTGAAGCTAAAGGAGCATAAAGTTTGCATTGTGTTTTGTTGTATTGGTAGACATTTGAAGAGTAGGAGTGCCGCGAAATTTTTTTAGCCCCACAAGGGTGCCGCGGTGAATAAAGTTTGGGAATCCCTGCTCTACGGAAGCACACGTGTTAAATGGAAATGAAAGTACATTTATGTATACTGGCATGCATACACAGAACCAATTTCATGCCACCAAAATTGATGCCGTATGCATAACTTTCGCTGCCTTCCCAAGCAGAGCGTGTATGTATACGCGAATACGACGCGATGGCGCCCGCCGGGCAGACGCTGCCAGGTCTGATCTAGATGCTCTAGGAACATTTCTGCATCACAAAGAAAATTTTTAAAAAAGTGTGGCTTACGTCTTTTAAGCGGTTAGGGCTCGATATGTATGTATGTGTGTATGTATGTATGTGTCTTCATTTATTTGCTATTGACCTCTCTGAACTTGGCAGGACAACTTTTTCTCAAAGCAAAAATTCCTATCGCATAATTTGCCGTTAATTATCCGTGAAAAGAATAATTTTGCCGCGGACATATTTTAAAAAATATCGAGTGCCCTGCTAACTTCCTTGGACCCAAACTAACTACCTGATAATTTGCCGTAAATTATCCGTGAAAAGAATTATTTTGCCGCGGACACATTTTAAAAAATATCGCGTGTTAGCAGGGCACCTTCTGAAAACCAATTACGGAAACCAGCTAAACCCAAACTAACTATCTGATAATTTGCCGTAAATTATCCGTGAAAAGAATTATTTTGCCGCGGACACATTTTAAAAAATATCGCGTGTTAGCAGGGCACCTTCTGAAAACCAATTACGGAAACCAGCTAAACCCAAACTAACTATCTGATAATTTGCCGTAAATTATACGTTGTTTATCCGTCAAAAGAATTATCTTGCCGCGGACACATTTACAAAGGGCTAATTAGACTTCTGCGTAAAATATTTAGTGGAGTGTTCTTTAACATACTTAATTATGATCATTAATTTAGCTGGTTGCCTTGATTGGATTTTTGAAGGTGTCCTACTAAGTTTCACTGCAGTGGGGAGTAAAAGCGATATTTTTGAAAGACGCGCCTGCCAAAAAATGTTTTGTCCCACGGATAAACTACGGATAATTTACGGCAAATTATCAAATAGTTAGTTTGGGTTTAGCTGGTTTCCTCAATTGGTTGTCAGATGGTGCGTGGAAGTTAGCAGGGCCCGCGAAATTTTTTGAAATATGTCCGCGGCAAAATTATTCTTTTCACAAAGAACAACGGATAATTTACGCAAATTATCAGATAGTTAGTTTGGGTTTAGCTGGTTTCCGTAATTGGTTTTCAGAAGGTCCGTGGAAGTTAGCAGGGCACGCGATATTTTTTAAAATGTTTCCGCGGCAAAATAATTCTTTTCACGGATAAACAACGGATAATTTACGGCAAATTATCAGAGAGTTAGTTTGGGTTTAGCTGGTTTCCGTAATTGGTTTTCAGAAGGTCCGTGGAAGTTAGCAGGGCACGCGATATTTTTTAAAATGTTTCCGCGGCAAAATAATTCTTTTCACGGATAAACAACGGATAATTTACGGCAAATTATCAGAGAGTTAGTTTGGGTTTAGCTGGTTTCCGTAATTGGTTTTCAGAAGGTGCCCTGCTAACTTCCACGGAAGTTAGCAGGGCACGCGATATTTTTTAAAATGTGTCAGCCGCAAGATAATTCTTTTCACGGATAAACAACGGATAAATTACGGCAAATTATCAGATAGTTAGTTTGGGTTTAGCTGGTTTCCTTTATTGGCTTTCAGAAGTTAGCAGGGCACGCGATATTTTTTAAAATGTGTCCGCGGCAAAATAATTCTTTTCACGGATAAACAACGGCTAATTTACGGCAAATTATCAGGTAGTTTGTTTGGGTTTAGCTGGTTT